TGCTGCCCCACCTCAGAGGCAGCACCTGGCTGGATCCAACTGTTCCCTGAGGCCACTGGGGCTTCCAGTGCCCTGTGCACTGTCCCCACCATCTTTCCACTCCCTGGGACTGTCCACAAACAGGCTGGCTTGCCTGGCCCTGGGGCAGTGCAGGGAGGTGGCAGGAGGGCCACTGAGTGTGCTGGCAGTCGAAGGCAGCAGGGATGGTGCATGGGGCGCTGGAAGCCTGGGCAGGCTTGGGGAAGTGCAGGCTTGGCGGTCTTCCAGAGCCCCTTACACCATCCCTGCTGCTTTCTCTGGCCTCCAGCACACCCAGCTGCCCTCCTGTCACCTCCCCATGCTGCCCCAGAAGCAAGCTAGACCATTCCTGGACAGTCCCAGGTAGCGGGGACAGTGCACAGTGCACTGGAAGCCCTGGCTGGCTCAGGGAACAGATGGATCTGCCAGGTGCTGCCTCCGACCTAGGGCAGCACCTGCCTGCTAGTAGCTCACCTAGGTGGTCCTGAGGGGTGCCACCACAGTGGAGAGAAGGACCAGGGCCCCATGCAGCTCAGGGGCTGCTTGGCTTGCCAGCAGCTTGCCCCCTGGCCATGGAAGAAGTTGGCAAAAAAGGATCGGGTCCTTTGCCAATTCTGCCCATCAGCAGCTTGCCCCCCAGCCGTAAGCAGGCTACGGCTCTGACAAAAAAACCCAACCCCACCCCTCCCCCAAAAACAAATAAAAAAGTATCAGGCTTCTTGCTGTAATGTGATGGAAAAATTGAGATACTGGGTTTCAGTTAAAAACCCACTGTTTCAATTTAGGGGCATAAAATGAAACCTTGGGGATTAAACCCCTGTCATGTGTACAAGCACTCTCTCTGCTTATTTCTTTTGTGGCTCTGTAGGAAAGAAGAATGGTTTGAAGCAGGCTCCCCTTTCAATAAGGAGTAGGGTCACAGTGTGTTCCAGTGGGCTTCCAAGCAGGTAGTACTGCGGACATCTGCGGATGGCCTTCACCCAATAGCTATTCTTTGATCTAAAAGTTCCACTGTTGGCTCCTGCTCATAAGCATTCAACCTGATCATCTCCTGGTTTACAAGCATCAATGTAATAGTGAACAAAGACATTAAGCAAAATGGATCTACACACCACAAAGATGGAGGCAGTTCTGTCATCAGTGCTGTTCCATTAGATGATCTGCCATTGTATAGTTCGGTGAGGTACTCACACTGATAGCTGACTACTCAGAGATGATGATCAGCTAACAAGTGTTTCGTGCCCACTCAGCCAGTGGCTGTGGATGCTCATGCAAGTGAACATCTTTCCAACCTGTTGATTCCAGAGAAAGTACAGCTCTTACATTCTAGGAACTATTTACACATTGACATGGGCTACTTAAGGGTTGATCTTTTCAGCTTTTATGTGCAGCTGGAATCTAATTTCATATCTATCCATAAAATGATATAATCCTAGTCCTATTTTTTCCTAGATCTGCCTTAATAATTCTTCACTACAGGCTCTTTACTAGAAAGATTATTTCAGAGATTCTGAAATGGACAGTTACACCATGTCCCCTGTTTCTGGACCTGCAAGGCAAAAAAATCAAGGCACTAAGACTCTTTAATAAGGTAAATAGGCTACAATTCATACTACTCATGTCTGGCCTGTATGAATATTCATACAGCATTTACTCACTAGAACTTCCCAAAGTGTTGTCACAGCATGTTCTGGGCACATGGCAGTGTTTTCTTTGATTGTTCCAAAATCCTAGTAAGTAAATTAGAAGGGATATTTCCCAGATGGTACAGGAAGGACCAGGTTTCCACTAAGAATAGAATTTAGGTTTTTCTCAAGCAAAGCAATGCACCATTCATTCAGATTTAGTACGCTGTAAACTTTTGGCAAAAAAATTAAACTGATTTGACATAATGCTGAAATGGATTTGTTCTGCATTGAAAACAGGAGCATTTAAATATGTTATTTGGATGTGGGGCACTAAATATCCTATTTCTGCTGAGTGAGTTAATAGCTACTGGAACCCTAGAGGTGTCCCTAGCAGTGCTATTATTTCTCTTTGCCATACTGAAGGAATCCCTGGCTGCTTGTAAAAAAGTTCTCAAAGCATGCTTCTGGGAAGTTTTGATTTTTTGAGAAGTGTTCTATTACCTATAAAAACAAACAAAATTCAAGACTAACAAGTAATACCTTGAGCAGATATTTATCTCCATGAGATATGGAGGATTCCTTGCCTCGTGCAGTCAGAAGAGCTCAAGCTATATTTCAGCAACTCAGCATAATGAACTTGAGCACGTCTGATTGCAGATGCTTGCACTTAAAAAGGTGTTAAAACCATGTAGCACATGTAATTTTCAAGAGATTCTGAAGCCACCTTGGTATTTTAGTGTTCTACGTGGCTTGTGCTTCTTAGTTGCTAAAGGAACATCACAAGATGGTGCTTTCATTATTTCTCATGCTTCCTTTTTTTAAAAAAAGGACCAAAAAACCCAAAAAACTAAAATAATGTTGGCATTCCTCTCTCTCCAAAATATGTTGTAATAGCAAGTCACAGTCTGAGCATCTTAATCAGCTAGCAATAGGTCAGATTTTCTTTACAATGCAAATATTACAAGAGCTCTACATTACAGGTAATAAAGTATTACAGACTGGATGGCTCATTTGGGATTGACAAGAACAATACCGTTTCCTCTTGACACAATGACATGCACCATTAACTGTGTACATCATGGTTCTCATAATTCATGGGTTGTTGAACCAAATCATTGACTTTTAGTTGGAATTGAATGCCTTGCTAGTGTGCCTATCAGAAGATGCTGTGCTTCACAAGTATGTGGGCATCTCTTCATTTTATACATCAGTTCAACACATTCAGTAAGAACCATCCGTCTTTTTCCAGCAGAGGTCCAAGCTGTTCAGATATCTTGCATGAAACTAGGAATGACACCACAGCAAAATATTTGGGACTGGTAAAAGGAGGTCTTGACAGATGGACAATTCTTTCACAAAAATCAGTTCTCCTTGAAGGTAAAATTACAGGACATCAATGCCATAGGAGCATTCCATCCTCAAAAGGTATTAACTCCAAGGGTATTAATTTCTTTGCTGAACAGAAAAGCTGCATCAGTCAAGTGTAGTGGCTGGCAACCTTTTCAGGTTGCAGACTGGAACCTAGCTTAGGTCAGGGTACACAGGTGGGTGCTAAGACTCAGCAGCTGCCACCACTTGTTTCTGTGGCAGCACAGGGAGAGCAAATGCTGCTGCTGAAGCCTTGTATCTGTGGTCCAGATCAAATGGTTCCATAGGCAACCCTGGGTTGCTGGCTCCTATTCTAGGCCACTGAAACCTCAAAAATATAGCATTCTTACAGACTGAGACAACAGTAACAGGTAATGATTTTGTCTTTAGCTATGGGAAGACTTAGGTTAAATGCTCAGAAGTTCAGACAACAGATACAAGTTAGACAAACAACAAGAAATATAATTAAATAAAATCCAACAGCACAGAGATCCTCAAATCCTGTTGACTTTCTAGAGGAAATTACAGAGCCCAACTACAGTGAACCTAGTATTTGGCACAGGACTCAATATTTAAAACAATGCAAAATGTAGTACCATTGAAAATGGGTAACTTGGTAGCATTGGCTTATAATAATATTTCCTTCAGCTCTAGCTTGCCAGGATTCTTCATCTCTTCTCCCCCTCAAGTTAAAGTTAAGCACCCACTCAATACATTTATTTGCTGTTTTGAGGTGATTGCAAATTACTGCATCTCCAACCACTGAACAAGAGAATAATGCAAAGGTTATAGGCTGCTGTCTTCTCCATGGTTCAGATTCCTGTAACCATCTCTGACCTCTGCTAAGGACCCTTTTTATCTTCCCATGTAATTTTAATACTTTGACCCTAGTTTTCAGAGCAATTAATCTATCAAATCCCAGCTGCAAAGACTGATAGCTGTGTTTCTCAGGGACACTGCAGATCATAAAGCATGGGAGGACTGGGGACAAGGGACTTTGTTGCAGAGCTTCAGATACAAGCAAACGTTCACAGAAGACCAGATAAATCTGAAGTCTCACCATCTTTATTAGATATAGTCAAAAGGTTCTCTGAAAGAAGTAGTCAATTTTCTGAAGGCACTTTTCAGTATAAAATGAATCACAATTCAAATCATCTTTATCTCTCAAAATCTTAAACTCTACCACTCTGTTTACTTCTAAATAAAAGTTACTCCAAAAAGAGTTTTGATCCCATAAATGCCTAACACTCTCTCAATCCACTGTGGGCTATTGATTTTACATGGACTATGCAATAATAGAAAAAAGTATTTGCCTACTTAAAAGGTTTTATATTTCTTTGCATTTCATCCTCCTCAGCTCTTTATTGAGTAATAAAACAGCTTGCTGTATAGTCTAGGTCTTTTTGTAATTAAAGGGATATAATGCCAAGAGGCTCAATAGGAAGACTAAAATCAGGACTTTGGGCATTTTTTCCTGCCTGTGCCACTGCCTGAATGTAAGTGAAACCCTTAACCATCACTAAATTGATTAATTTGCAAATGGTTTTATGTTCTGGCAAGTCACAACGTACAATCAAGAAGGTAATTATGACCATGAATGCAAGGGAAACAGTCATGAATACACTAAGAATTCCCACTTTATCATAACATTTTTTAAAGTTAAATTTTTCTTTGAATCATTCAGCATGGCTGTTTTTGACAACAAAATATTAAGTTGGAAAAACAATTTGTGGCTATTTCTGCATTCCTTCAGAAAAATTCTCCCATCTTGAAGAATGCCCCGCCCTGCAAAAAAGAGTTCATATTCACTAAAACCTGAATTCAGGAACCTTATTAAGATTAGAAGGTTAATATCGAAATCCAAATCGACTGTCCCAACTATTTTCATTCTTGTTTTTGCCTTAACTCTCATTCAGATTGTTCCAATTGCACAGTAACTCCTTTTTCATCACAGTTATTACAAGAGTTTTTTAAAAGACGGCTTACCTTTTCAGCAGACTGTTCAATGGATGTCTTTACTTGCTTATTGGAAGGGCCTGGAGTAGAGTTAGCAGGTCTCGAAGGTTGAAGAGCAGTCTGAGTGTTGGTTATAGATTGAGAGGATCCTGATCTTTGGTTTTGATTTGACTCATTCAATCTGCTCTCTCTTTCCCCAGCAATTAAATCCCTGATTTTACGCAGTTGCTCAATTGAAGCTTCCTTAGGGAAAATGAGATGAGTTTCTCCCTGAAATGCAAAAGCTTAGAAAAGTTAATTATATATTTAATATATACAAATTACACTATTGAGTTTAACCTCTTTTCCATTGGCCTTGCTGCAGATGGAAGTTTTAAAAGCCTATTTCAGTTTCCTTTTTGTTCTAAGAAGGGCAAGGGCCACATGGTTTTATTTTTAATTTAGTTGTTCCAGGAGTAACTAAAGTTGGCATCATCTCCAAATAAGGTCTTGTGATATTCGTATTCACTCAAATCCAAGATGAGGTATTTTTCTCTCAATCACCATTTGCAGGGCAAATGGTAGCTCAGCTCTGACTTTGGCCCTGAACTTGAGGCTGAAGCCAAAACTGAACCACTGTCTGTCCTGGGCTGGGCAGCTCATGCACCGTGGGATGGGACTCCCAACAAGGGAAGACCGTACAGGGGATGGCAGGCAGGGGGGACACTTGCAGAGTACGGCTTGGGGAGTGGGGAAAAACTACAGTGCCTTCCCCTGCTTCTGTCCACCCCCTTCTATCTTCAGCTACAGTTGGACTCCTGCCCCAACCTGGCTCTCAGGCTGGGGCTGCTACCGACTGCCCTGAAGCCAGAACAGAGAGGGTAAGCAGCAGCGTGGGGAAGGCAAAGCACAAGGGTCTGGCCCTTCACCTCCTGCCACTGTTTTCCCCTCCACAGGGGATGAGTTTAAGATGACCCCCCAATAATTATATTCTATACATAGAAAATGATAATGATTGTATAGTTTTCCATGTTTAGATTTAAGTTATTGGGGGATTGCCTTCAATTCAAATTGGATTTGGGTAAATATGGGAGTTGCATAATGGAGTGACTGGTAGGGAAACTGCCAAACTTGGAAGAAAATTCTGCAGTACATGAATTAATATGATACTACATGGAAAGTGCACAGTCAGGAAAAGAAGCATCTTCACTTTTGGGTGGGAATTGCGAATGTAACTCAGGAATTATTCCCTCCCACCTGAGAGAGAGTCAGTTTAACAAACAGTGCAAAAATAAACCAGACATTTCAGATTGCTGTGAAGGAGATACCTGTGACCTGCTTTCACTCCTAGCAGCATAACCTCAAAACTCCAACCTGTACTAAACAAACAGGTGGTTTATTTTGTAACACAAGTCCCTCCTAACAATGGTGCTTATTTATCTACACCAGGGGTGCTAAAATCTGGCGTGGTTCATGGGGCCAGATTGGGCCCATGGACCCTCCTGTTCCCCACCCCATCTCCTGCTAGATCTAGTGCACATGGGGGATTCCCTCATCCCTGTCCAGGACGATGCTGCATACAGTGTGCATCCTGGACTGGTGTGAGGTGCCCCTGTGTGTAGCATGTGTCTCAGACTGGTTGGAAATGATGCAATGTGCACCGTGGGTCCCAGGACCCACAATGGCCACTCTGGACCAGGCAGGGAGGGGGCAGGCACATATATGGTGGAAATCCCAGAGCAGGAACCAGATACAGTGTGCATCCCAGGCCCTGTGTGCAGTGCTGGTTTGGTGGCTTGTGGTGTCCAGACGAGGGGGCTCCATGGCTGCATCCAGTCTGCAGGCCATCCTGAACCTCCCTGCGGAATTAGCTCTAGCAACCTGAAAGACCACTTTATTTCTGCAATCATGATCTTTTTCCCCAGATAGCCAGCCAGTACAACTGTTCTGGAGGAAGGTAAGAGGGAGAGGGCCTCATGACAACAGGAAGCAGAATAGTTGCACCTGAACAAGAGAAGGGGCTGAATATATGCCTGATGAAGAACTAAGCAAATTCAACATGAAAAACAGAATGTGTGTTTTTTCAGATGACCTTTCCATCAACTATTAAACATAAAAATTAATAAAGCCATATCTAATGCAAGAACCTGGGAGGAACAGACACTATGGGGAGAGAGGCCATATTAAACAGACAGTGGGCAAAAAACTGGCTCTTTGACGGCAACAGGGCCAGGATTTCACTCAAGAGTTTTCAACAACACAAGGACAACAGACATCATTTATCTGCTATTGGGCAGTAGATATGTGGAAAGGATAAGAGAGTGAAAACATTAAGTGAAAAAAGAGCTCCCTAAACTACCCAAAAAGTGGAATCTAAGGTCTTGTAACTACAAAGAAAGTCTGGACCTAAAGTGGTACCAGAAGAACACACATTTATTATACAGTGAATGAAAACTGCTGCAATTACAAAACACTGAATGAAACAGAAGGCAAACCATTAGCATTCACTCACCTCTTCAAATCCCATTTCAAACAAACATTCAACTGCTCCTCTGACAGGTAACAATCTAGTCGAAAATGCTGGATTTCCAATCCGAATTGACCTATATTTTTCTTCATTTGGGTGGCTGATAGGATTTGAGAGAGAGAGAGAGATTTTATAATTTCATTAACACAAAGTAAGCCACCAGCCAGAGTGGGGAACCCTTCCACTGTAACCTTCCACTTATTAAAGATGAGAGTAATTTTAAGAAACTTTGGCCTATTTAAGTGGTGCAACACATCTACCCTTACACTATTAATTCATATATTTTTATGTATAACTTTCAACCCGGAACTGTGGCATGCTCATTTAGTACCAACTTAAAATTGACATCTATGAAGTTCAGATCTGTGTCAATTTAAATCAAGATCAAGGCCTGGCCAACTTTACATACAAACACTGCATGCATAGCATGTGTCCTACATAACACATACTACACATAATCAGAATTGATTGTAAAAGTTTTCCTAGGTAGAAATGAAAAGTCATATATTTCACAGGAGAGCTGAAGGCGAGGTAAAAATTGCCTGTTTGGAATAGTTCATTTTGTGTCCAGGTTAGACGCAGAAGGGGAAAAAAGAAAAAGGACAAGACTCTCAGCCTCTCTCTGTGCCTAACCTGGACAAAACGAACTATTCCAAACAGGAGATTTTACCTTGCCTTCAGCCCTCCTTTGAAATATGAATTTTCATTTCTACCTAGGAAAACTTATAATCTCTGCTCTCTCCTATGCCTGACGAAGGGCGAGCATGCCCAAAAACCTGCAAATAAATACACTGATTTGTTTGCAAATATCTAGTTGGTCTAATAAAAGATATCACCTCTTCCACGCGTTTTCATTCCTTTTGGCAGATGTGAGAAACTTGACAGTAGAAGTCATTTGCCTGCTGTTCTTTGAGGTTAGCAAACAAAGAGGCAAAAGGGAAGAGATGAACTGGACCTTTTTAGATTTTCTTTTTTTAACAACAATTCAGGGAGTTAAACATGAAAACAAGGTGACAAGAAGCACCTACCCCAAGAAAGCAGCCAGTCAAAGGGACTGTGGTGTACAAAATGCACAGGCTGCCCTAAGGAGGGTAGCAATGTACTGCTGTGCATGATGTGTCCAGATGCGGGGATGATGGGTAAGGTACCAGGGGCTTAACACCAGGAAGGGGGCACGGGGCCCGGCCGGGGCTGGCAACACCCTAGGTACAGTGCCCAGGCAGCGATAGCCCTTGGGGTGGGACCCGGCACGGAGACAGCCCTGTGCGCTACCGCCAGTACTTTCCTAGAGCTCCTCAGACCCCGCCCGCCCGGCCACCCGCCTCTCCTCCCGCAGCCCCGCTAGCTGCGAACCACAAACTTCCCGCCCGGCGCCGCTCCTGCTTGGGGGGGCCCGCCCGCGCCGCTGACCTGATGATGTTATCCGCGTAGGTGAGCAGCAGCCGCGAGGCCTCCAGGAAGGCTTCTCGAGCGTTCTGGCACAGCTCGCTCACGGCTTGGGAGGACGGTTGCGAGGATTGGCCCACCACGGCCGCCATCGCTCTTCGGTCGGGCGCTTGGTGCTTTCCTCCCTTCACCTGCGAGCAGACGCTTTTTAACACGCGCCCGCCCGCCCCAAATCCGGAAGGCTCCGAAACAGCCGCTAGTACTGGGAAGGTGATGCGGGCGGGCGCGTTTTGTCTTAGGAACTTTATTGACCTGTCGCAGGCGGACTCCGGGGCTGCCGCTTCTCTCTTCCTGGCCTGTCCCAGCGGGGGAGGAGCTACTGCTGCCGCTGGGCACACAGGGGATAGTTCTGCTATACGGCACGGGCCGAGCTTAGCCCGGTCAATACTAGTGAGTATGCGCAGTAATAACTGCGAAGCCGCTGCCCTCAGCACTTGCTCCCGGAACCAGGGCGTGAGGTGGGGGGTTTAAAGGGCCAGGCCCCTTTTTTTTTCGCCTAGGCTGGGGCTGCAGCTGGTGACAGTGCATACCCTTCCCTACTGCCTTGGTGGGGAGGGGGCCTGGGGAAATGACAGGTTCAGGGTTGTTTCGATGCGGCAAGTGGGTGAATGATTTCAGGTGTATGAATTTTCATTTCTACCTAGGAGAACTTTTATGATCTTTGCAGTCTCGTATGCCTGATGAAGGGTGTCTGTGCCCAAAAGCTTGCAAATAAAGAATTATTTTTTTGCAAACATCTAGTTGGTCCAATAAAAGATATCACCTCTGCCACAAGTTTTGCTTGCTAGCATTAGGCTACACCAGGAAGCTGGGGACTGGGTCTCTTCCAAGCCATTCTGCATTCTCATCCTGCCCAGGCTGCACGTCTGGGGCCTTTACAAACCAGGGGCAACAGCACTGCAATAGCAGTGGTATTATTAAAAGTAAGGAGTGGGATGTCATAAATTGGCCTGTGTTGCTATAGCCAAATTACCGGGAGCTTTAGTCCGGCCTCTGTTGTCTTCAGCGACATCAGGCTGACCATCCCTGGTTAGGTCAGGGAGGTCACCTGCAGTAGGGGAATCTGTTGTTAACACAAGGTATGTGTCTGATCATGTGTTAAAAGAAAAGGCATTCAAGAAATATACAGGGGTGTAGGTTGTAGCCATGTTGGTCTAAGGACATAGGCAGACAAGGTTCTTTGGGTGAATCTGATATCTTTTATTAGACCAACTAAAAAGATATCAGATTCATCCAAAGAACCTTGTCTTCAAGAAATATAAGCATTCAAGAAAAGGCTAATGGCAAAATAATTTTTTTTCCCCCTCAATAATAAGGTGACAACATGGCTACTTGCAGAAGGTAGGCTGGCCAACTAGGCCAGTTATTAGCTGGCATAGAAAATGGATCTAAAAAAAAAAATCACGTCGGTGCCTGTGGATTTAAGTGCCTAGCTGTTGCTTAAAGCGACACAGTGAATTAATGGTAGATACAAGTGGCACTTGTCCTGTGCCTTATGTAAACACGATTTTCTCAGGGCATATGAAAAATAGGAAACAATTCTATTCTCCACTTATGTTTATGTGTATTGATAATCGTAGAAGCATCCCCAAAGCTAACTGTTGAACTCTAGGGTGAAAAAACCCAGTTGAGTAGAAGCAGTTTAATGGCCAAATTTAATGACAATTGTATATGAGAGGCAAGGATTTATTAGGGTGATGCTGTCTTTTATTGGACCAACTACATGGTTGGGATACAGCTAGACGAGCTTTTGAACACAAGACATTCTTCCCTGAATCTGACAACTGTAGTCATTTTTTTCTTTCAGTGCTCTCATAAGGACACAAGATATTTTAAGGACACAAAAGATATTTCTCTGCTTATCCAGATTAGAAATACATAAGCTGTAATATAATTCAAACATATGCTCCAGTTGCACCATAGCATATTATGTTATCACAACCAGCATCTTCATAGTTGCATTTTTTCACATAAAATAAGAATTCAATCTTTGTTTTGTAGGAAGAATATAGTGCCTTTTTCCTGAAGTTCGCAGCAATTTTTCTGTGAGAACTGAATTTTCTGAGAATGTTCAATGTAACCCAATTTCAATTAAATCATTGATTAGAAACTCCTAATACATTTACCTTGGTGAGTCTCATCCCTATTTTTTACTCTGTTTTTATCCCTATAAATGTGCTTTATGCTCCTGATATTTAGATAGGCTGAGCACCTGTGGCTTCACTTGACTTCACGTGGAGTCAGAGACACTCAACACTGAAAATTAGACACTTGGGGTATGTAATATGTAAGATGAAGGTGTTTCTGTTCTGTTGTACCTACTTGGTATAGTCTTGCTTTCTTTCTTTTTACAGTAATGTTGAGGCTGTACCTGCTTTTGATACATTACCGTCCTATAAAGACTTTCACTTCTCTTACAAACTGAAAATATATATTTTTTGCATTTTACCTAAAATGAATCTTAGCAATTTTTACCATGCTCAGACAGATTTTTCCTGTTTTATAGCAGTTATATAAACTATGCAACCATACTAACTTCTCCCCAGTAATTTTCATTGTTGCTTCCCACTAAGAAATATGGCTAATACCAGTGCTTCATCTAATGTATGAAAACACAAATAGGAGAAGTAAACAACACCTTAGGTAGTTTATGACTTCACCTGTGTTAATCTTTGATATTTTTACTTTTGTGAATGAGAATTCAATTGACTACTTGAGCTGTAGTTTTAGATCATGAAACAACTTCTGGTATTAGTGTACTAAACATTGTTCTTTCTTGCTGGGGAACCACTAGTTTTAAGTCTGATAGGCTATATTGAATGGTAGGTTGAGACGTTGCAGTCATTTTAGGTTTATTAAAAAGATAATCCTGTTGTGGTCAAGACAACCATAAAATATGGTCACTTTGCAAACAGTTACTGAAAAGTCTCCACACAGCATGTCTGACAATTAAATGTATTCACTTCTATGGAAGGCAGCTTGGATTGATTTAAATTAAATGTAAGGTAATTAATATTCCTAATTTTAATTAACCAGCAGGGACCTTTGTTTTAAATAATCAAAGCTAATTTGATTTGGTATTTGTAACTTTTGTTTTCTTAAGAGGGACTGATTGCCATTGCTTGGTAATAGAAGTGCACTGATACATTGGTCTGATATCGGATTGGTACTGACATAAAGAAAAGTGGCTGTTCTGTATTGGAAATTGGCCCGATGGGGCCGATAATTTGGCCAATAAATACCTGTGCTGCACGCAGGCTCCGTGCAGCACTCAGGCAGTGAGGAGCATAGCCTAGCAGTGTGGAGAGCTGCCTCCAGCTGGTAAGTCCATTGTGGTGGAAGGGGAGGGGGGGAGGGAAGGAGTGTGAGGGGAGCAGTTCAATGCCCCCCATGGTGAGGGATGCAGCAGAGGAGGCAGTACCCAGGCAGGGTGGGGTGGGCATGGGATGGAGCCACAGCTCATGGAGGAGGGTGGCTCCTGCCACTGCTTGCACCCTGGGAGGGCACAGTGTGGGGGGGGTGTGCTCCTAGATCTGAAGGCTGGAGCTAGAGCTGTGTGGGGTTCTTCTCCGTGGGGGCTGGGCTTGGAGTGGGCGCTGGTGACGCTGGGAGGTGGCTGCAGCCACCCCAAATTTTGCTGCAGCTCCAGCTCAATGCCCTGCCTCCACCCACATGCCAGGAAGAGCCAGGACTGCGCTGGGCTGGTTGTGGCTGTGGTGCTGGGAGCAGAGCTTCAGTTAAATTTGGGGTGGCTGCACCCCGCTCCCAGCGTTGCCGGGGCCTGCTCCAAGCCCAGTCCCCGCCAAGGAGCCATGCGCAGCTCTGTGTCCAGTCTGCAGCTGCAGCCCCCCCCACCCCACCCCATGTAGATCCGGGGGCACACGCCCCCCGTGCCCTCCTGCGTGCAAACAGTGGCAGGAGCCACCCCCACCACAAGCTGTAGCTCCATCCCACCCTGCCCTGCCCCTGCCCCTGCCCCCTCCCACACTATGGGAGGCATTGATCTACCCCTTCCCCTTCCACCACAATGGACTTAAGGACTGGAGGCACCTGTATTGGAAATTGGATCAGTATTGGCCAATATGCCTCCTTAAGTATCAGGTATTGATATCGGCCCCCAAAATCTCTATCGGTGCACCCCTACTTAGTAGCCATTACAAGTTGTTGCTTTACAAATGAAATAGCATTAACGCCTACATACTAAACCAACATTTTTTTTTTTTTTATGCTGGTGTGGAAAAAAAAGGAGACAGATAATACATATCTCTAAGCTAGGGTGACTTCACTCAGTCTTGTGGAGAATTGCCTTTAAAAGAACTGGAGGGGAAACTAATGTTACAAGTACACTAGTTTGGGTTTCATTTGTTTCTTCCATCTTGGTGTTGCTGTTTCGTTAAAAGCAAATGAGCCATCCATTCTTCCCAGCATTGATGATAATAGCTACCTACTGTATGCAGTAGCCCTGGAGATAGCTGATGTAAATTACACTGTAGTATGTGCTGCCGGTTCAGGACCTAAATTTAGTACCTTTTGCTAACCAGAAGGATGTTATAGTAATACATATTTATTTAAGCAGTTATATAGCTTGAAACATGCTTATTCTGAATCATGTTTTTTTGCATTTTTTTACTATTTTTACTAGATTATTTGCTATTTAGATGGAAATTGAGAATAAATTCAAAAGCAGAGTTGAAGCGTTTAAAATATATATTTTAATAGACTATAAGTATCTAAAATGTGTTGGATACATAAACTTACTTTTAAATATGTTTTTCAGGTAATTTACTAAACAGAGCCAGTATTACCATGGCTTTCAGGGTTTTAGAACTAATAGTTCTCATTCTGTCATATGCCATTTTTATTAACCATATATAGTGGAAGAAGGAAATATGCTTTCCTCCTCATTCAAATCATAATCAGCTTCTCTGTTTTGAATGACTTAGACATGGAATTTAATTTAATTCCATTAACTGAAATGAAGATGTTCCTTCTGTATCTGTAGAAGAGGCTGCTGCCCCCTCCAGAAGTGGTTCAGTGCTATTTAAAAGAAAAATCTGGTTCTATTTTCTTAGCAGGAGACTTTGTTAGTTTTGTGGTTTAATTTTCTGCTTTGTTTTTTTTCATTCAACTTAAAAATAATGAAGTATAGCAGGTTTATATCTTAACATTGGTTATTACAATTTTGGTAAGTATGTTTTCTTACAGAGAGAAATAATTTAAGTCAAATCCATCTTTTTTTTATTGTTTTTTAAATTATATACCCTGATAAAATAATGTGTCCCCCATTAGCTGCTATACTGAATTGGAACATCATTCTGTAATGGGATTAATAACTCTCACTTTGAAAAGAAGTGTATCTAACCTTATGTAACATTGGATTTTTGTATTAAGATTACTTTTTCAGTATACCTTTATTAGAAGAATCTGGTATTGACATTGGTAGAGAATAATCTCCTAGACTGCTGGTCTGAACTGATTTAGCAGTTCGTATTCTTTCTATGTTCCTGCCATTGCAGAGATATTTCTTTATACTGGGAGGTTCTTTCTGGTTATGATATGCAAGAAAAAAAAATTGACCATATATGATTTTTAAAAATTGAGGAAGAGTTTGCAGGTCTACCAGTTAGATTTTTTTCACCTTATTTGAGCAAATTTCATAAAATATTCCTGAGAATGATAAAAATGAGTCTCTACTCTACTGTTTTCTTTACAGAATAATTTTTCTAAGTTAGTGGATTCCAACCTTTGGCCCATGGCCTATGGGCAACTCGCACTCCATTCAAGTTGTTAGTGTTCTACAAAAAGAAAAACAAATATTATTAACTGATCCTTTGATTGCCTTACTATTAGGGTCATATTTTTACTGCCCATGAGAGTATACATTTATGAGTACAACGTTAGAAAAATTTGAGTGAAGGCACTTGTTTATTTATATTGCACTACAGCTTTAAGACTTCATTGTACTAGACACTGTTCAAGCACATTATGAGGGACATTGCCTGCCCTTGAAGAGCTTACACACAGACAGAGGGTAAGAGGAGAAATTCAGTTGGGACAGTAAAGTGTAATGACTTGCCCAGAATGTCACACCTGGTCTACAGCAAAGCCAGGAACTGAATCCAAGTTTTGTGACTTTATCAAGGGCTCTATTCACTGTTTCCTATATAGGTTGCAATGAAAGCCTATAACCATATAGCTGCAGTAGGATGTTTGTTGTCAGGCAGGGTTCATCCTTCTCTGCAGTTTAGAAAGCAAACAGGTATTTAAAAGGTAAGTCTGAATTGTAATCTGCTTTAGGCCTTTCACATTAGATACTTTATTGGTGCCTTTTTTGTTGCAGGAATGAGCTGCAGGTAATCCTGGCCTCTCCACCATGTTTTTGCAGTGTTCACAAGGTTTACTGAAACTTGCAAGTCTTCATCTTCGGACCCCCCAACTAAATCAGTATTTAACATGTAATAGAAAGAGTTTTAGCACCAAATCGCTTTCTAAATGTCGGAGGCGAGTAGTTGTCACAGGTATTGGCTTAGTATCTCCTCTTGGTGTTGGGACACAATTCGTATGGAACCGCCTTCTCAAAGGAGACAGTGGAATTGTTTCTCTAAATGGGGAAGAATATACAAATATTCCTTGTAAAGTGGCTGCTTGTGTGCCAAGGGGAAATGGTGAGGGTCAGTTTAATGAAGAACTTTTTTTGTCAAAATCAGAGATCAAATCCATGTCTTCTGCCACTATCATGGCCATTAGTGCTGCAGAGCTAGCAATAAAAGACTCCAGTTGGCATCCACAGTCTGAACTGGACCGCTTCACTGCTGGTGTGGCTGTTGGAATGGGAATGGTTCCACTAGAAGAGATTTTCAATACAGCCTTGACATTTAAGACAAAGGGATATAGCAAAGTCAGCCCATTCTTTGTCCCTAAGATCCTGGTCAATATGGCAGCAGGTCAGATCAGTATTAGATACCAACTAAAAGGGCCCAATCATGCTGTATCAACTGCTTGCACTACAGGAGCACATGCTGTTGGAGATTCCTTTAGATTTATAGCTTATGGTGATGCTGATGTAATGCTGGCTGGAGGAACAGAGGCTTGTATAAGTTCATTGTCCTTGGCTGGATTTGCCAGAGCCCGGGCCCTCAGCACTAATTTTAACTCAAGCCCTACACTGGCATGCCGACCATTTGATTCACAGAGAGAAGGATTTGTAATGGGAGAAGGTGCAGCTGTGTTGGTGTTGGAAGAATATGACCATGCTGTACAAAGAGGAGCAAGGGTCTATGCAGAAATTTTAGGCTACGGACTCTCTGGTGATGCTTGCCACATAACAGCCCCTGATCCAAATGGAGATGGTGCTTTCAGGTAAGAACCTGTAGATTTACAGATAAATTATTAAGATGTTATTTTCTGTTAATCAGTATTTTACAAAGGTATCTAGAGAAACATTGTGCACCTCTCATAAATAGCATTCATATTAGGGCTATGTGAAGCTTCGGCAGCCAATTTGATTTGCAGGAGATTTGGCCTGATTCAACAGCCGAATCTCTGAATCTGAATCAAACTGGGAGACCAGTTAAAAGATCCAAATTGAATCAGAAGCTTCTGAATTGATTTGGAAAAGATTTGGCGCTGCTTTGGAGATTTGGCCATAGACTAAACGGCGCCCGCATCCTGTGCCCCCGCCCTGACTAGGCAAGTGACAGGCTATGAATTAGGTGGCAGTGCTGGGAGCAGGAGCTATACCTTGTTGCTGTTTGCCCCCTTCCTGAGTCCCATGCCTCCGCCGCCCCGGCTGGGCAGCACATCCCAGCCCAAATCCCTCCTTCCCCCCCCTCACACCCCTTTCCTCCCCACTCCGCCCACCACAACAGACTTACCAGCTGGAGGCAGCTATGTCCAGCGTGGTGAGGACTGCTGCCTGTTTAGTCTATGGCCAAATCTCCAAAACAGCACCAAATCTTTTGGATGCAATTCAGCCAAATCAAATCAGGATAGTGATTCGAATCTCCGAATTAAATCACTGTCCCTCTGAATCAGTTGAATGCGAATCCAAAGGGAATACTTGCTGCTTCACACAGGCCTAATTCATATGTATTTTATCTGATGTGTAAGTGATAAACAGACCTACAGGTTTCCAAAAGTTTGAGAAATCCATCTGAATGATGAAAGATTTTTTTTAAGGCTTTATCCTCTTTTTCTTTCTTTATGGTGTAATAGGTAAGTAGATACTCTTTAGAATTAGCCTCTCAATAAAGGGTTATGAAAGGGTTATTCCATATTAGAATATTTCACATGTACTTTTGATATATACAGATTCACACAAATAACTCTCGGCAGCTGGTTGTTTAAGGCTATCATATTACAGGTTGTTTTTTTTTAACCTCATTCACCCTGTGCCTATAGACAGGAGAGACAGTAAAGTACAAAAGCAGTTTTGTATCAGAATACAAAAGCTGTAGGTTGTCATATAGAAATATTTCTTAGTATGCAGACAACCCTTACACAGAATGCAGGGATTGTATAGCAGTTGGAGAATCTCAAGTTCCCAAAATACTTTCTTTAGATATTGTCAGCAGGAAGAGTAAGAACTCCATGTAAAAGATCTAAGACCTTGACTGAGAAAGATATCTAGACACATACCTGCAGTAAAGCACGTGCTTCAAGTAAATATGTCCAATACCTTACTCAGGTGTGATCTGAATACAGATTCAGGCTTTGGATGTTGGATAAGAAACAAACATTGCATTTAGACAGCAGGAAAGTGCTTTTAATTTGCACTGATGTACTGACAAATCAATTTTATATACAGCTATAATATTCACATTATAGACTGACTAGATAACTTTTTTAAAATAATGGGATAGTTACATTTTCAGCAGGCCAACCTCAGCGTTTTCCATGTCACAAAAGGCTAAACAACATGCTGATTTTTTTTGGCCCCATTCTTTTATATTTATATCTATGGAGATGAAAGTGCTCTATTTTCTCACCTACAACATGTATCTTCCCTCTCCCATTCCTCCCAAAAAACAGCCCCCCAAAACTGGGATGCGTGTTTTAAGTGAGGAAGCTGTTTTCTTTGTAAAAAGAGCACTCCTGGAGACAATGTGCATGGCATGCAGCTGTCAGGATGGATGCTGTTGTATATGCTTAATAAGCTAAAGGGGCAGTGTCATATGTTAACCTTCTCATGGCCGTACTTACTGGCTGAGCTTTTGCCTGAAGCAACAAGTGATCTTTTGATGAAGCTTGTGATATGGAAATAACGCTTCATTTACCGAACCTTTTTTGAAGAAGTACTTCCAGTAAAGAAACTAACAGTCTTACAATTGCCCTTTGCAAGGGCCTAGGACATAACCTGGTGTGGCTTAGAGTAAGTCCTGGAAACAGTGTCCAGGAAGCCTGGCATTGCAGGCGACAGTCTGTCACACCAGAAAGTTCCTGATGCCATGCTTCTGTGTTGCCAGGAGGACTCAATCTATAGCATATGGTCAGCCATGATTTTGAAAAAAAACACTTTTTGTTTTGCCTTTCAAAACCTGTGTGTGTTTTATTTGGTGGTGTATTGTATCTGAAAAAAATGTGGTGCTCTCCCTACTACTCAGACATTTTTCATCTGTAGTAATCTGCAGAAAACTGGTTTTCACACAATTTGAAAACCTGTTACCCCCATTTACATTGTTTTTATGCTTTAGGTTTATAAAATGAACATTGTGTAAATGCTGCATAATTGATTTGATCTCACTTAAACCTGTTATCTGTTTAAGCATATAAGCCACCTGAGAGCTTTCCATGGATTAACTAAATAACATTGCTGAAGAACACAGGAAGAATTTTCTAGCTTTCATAGCTTTACTGTAGTAAGTTAAAGGTTTGACGTGTAAAAGTCAAAAAGTTTAAAGTATTGGTTTTCAAAACAACTCCTTTTGTGTGTATATATAACATAGATACTACCATACCAGGTAGTCCAAAAAATAAAGCAAGTAAAACACCATAAGAAGGCGGGCTGAATGGGAAGTGATATGGATGACAGAAGCTCCTAATCACAGCTAAACCTAAATGTCCGTCATCTGTGCCTTCTTAGAAAGTGCCAGTGTGAGTCAGTCCACTGTACTGACCTTGGTAGAATGATACTATAGGTATAATCTATGGTTAGTTAATTTCTCCTCTTATTATATGATGTGCCTTCCGGTTAACTCCTTTGTAAATGATTTCTGCCCTGGCAGGGGAATGTACTAAATGATTTAATTTTTGTTGTTCTGCATGTGTGCATTCAATAACAAATGTCAGTATATTAAGTATACAGCTGGTGCATAGTTTTGTAAGGCTCAGTCCACATTTCAGCTTGATTATGTATTTAATGTAGAAGAATAACTTACCAGATTTCTTCTTATAACACTTAGTTTGTAATTAATTGCTTTGCTAATCTGGGAAATGTATTGTTCTGTATTTCATTGTTAATCTCGGTTTCTCCCTAGCTGCAGATTTTTTTTTTTTTTCATCCTTGACAGTTCTTTGCAACACAGTTTTCATATGTACATCTTAAAATTGTAGAAGTGTAGTAATTCAGTTTGCTTTGGGAAATGGTTAACAGTTAATCTCAGTGTCTCCCAAATTACAAATATTTTTACTTCTGGGATAACTGTTTACAAATGTATTATCAATATTTCATACATATAATTGTAACAAGACATTCAGTGGGAAATAGATCATTTTGTATTAAATGTTATTTAATTGTTTATTGTGATAAATTATTATTAACTTTACAAATGAAAAGAGACCTCCATGGAACAGTAATATCTATAGTTTGTGGGTCCATTCATTTTTATCTCCCTTTTCTCACCTATGAAATATTTTTTCCGTAGTGACCAACCACACTAGGCTTCCCAGGACTGTCATTAATTTTAGAGCTATATTATGGAGTTCCTCCAGAGTCCCTCAAGTATAAATTTTATCCCAAACTTGGAAAATTGGTCCTGAATGGTCAACCCTTTAAACATTCCTGTGGTGCCAGGTACGCTCCTTCTGGTTCCAGAGTTCTGTACTCAGTCTCAGAACTGTGAAGGGCCTGGGATTGTGTTCTAGATTTTGGTACCCCACAGTTGGTCACTTTATCCAGTGTAAGCTTTAATTCAATCAATATATTCTACACAATATAACAAAATAGAGCACAGGATTAGGTTTCAAAATGACTTTGATAAACTAGAAAAAATAGTTTGAATTTAATTCAATTTAAGAAGTGCAAAGTCAACTGCCTGAATACAAATTGGAAGATGACTGACTCTGCTACAGCACTGTGGAAAAAGACTTGGGGGTTATAGTGGACTACAAGGTGAATATTAATCAACAGTGTGTCCTTGTTGTAAAAAAACCAAATAGTTGTGGTAACCAGAGCACTGCCTGCAAATCAAGGGAAGTGATTCTTCTGCTCTGTTCAGCACTGGTGAGGTCTCAAATGGAATACAGGTTACCCTTGCTTTATTCTGTACATGCATTCCTGGGAAAGGGTGCATAACTCAAATTCACATAAAGGGAACCCACTTTACAATGTAACAAATAGGGATACGTTTCCAAGAACCCGACTGTACTGACCCCCAGACCCATTTCTACCACTTTTACAGGACAATTTTGATACCTACGAAAAGCAGACAGTACACAGAAGTAGGGGTGCACCGATCAAGATTTTTGGGGCTGATACTGATAGCTGATATTTAAGGAGGTATATTGGCTGATACCAATCTGATTTCTGGTACAGCTGCCTCCAGCTGGTAGGTCAGTTGTGGTGGAAGGAGCACGGGAGAGGAATGATCAATGCCCCCCACGGTGAGGGAGGGGCAGAGGCAGTGGCAGGTGTTGCCCAGGTGGGGCTGGGTGGAGCTGCGGCTTGTGGGGGGGTGGCAAATCCCACTTCTGCTTGCACCCTTGGAGGCCGGGGGGAGGGGCCATGTGTCACCCAGATCTGAGCTGGGTGGGGCAGGGCGGGCTGTAGCCAGGGCTGCGTGGGGCTTCTCTCGGCAGTGGCTGATGCATCTCAAATTTTGCTGCAGCTCCGCTCCCAGTGCCAGCACCACCAGCCACCCAGCACAGCCCCGGATCAACACCCTGCCTCCACCCACATACCGGGAAGAGCCAGGGTTGCTCTTGGCAGCTGGTGGTAGCAGTACTGGGAGCAGAGCTGTGGTGAAATTTGGGGTAGATGCAGCATCCTCCCAGTGCCACCAGCACCTGCTCTGAGCCCAGCCCCTGCTGAGAGGAACCCGGCGCAGCCCTGGCTGCAGCTCGCCTGCCTGCCCTGCGCAGATCCGGGGGGCACATGCTCCCTATCCCCCGCCCTCCTGTGGTGCAAGCAGTGGCAGGAGCTGTTGCCCCCCGCCTGGCTGGGCAGCAGCTGCTCCTGCCCCTTCCCTCACTGTAGGAGGCATTGATCTGCCCCCCACATGTCCCTTCCCCCCCCCCCACCACCACAGTGGACTTACCAGCTGGAGGCAGCTCTCCACACTGCCAGCTCTGCTCCTCACTGCCTGAGTGCTGTGCTGCAGCTGCATGCAGCATGGGCATTTATTGGCCAAATTACCAGCCCCATCAGGCCAATATCTGATACAGCCACTTTTCTTTATGTTGGTACCAATCCAATATCAGACTGATGTATTGGTGCACTTCTACACACAAGCACAGGGCACTATCATTATGGGGATGGCAACTACAGAAACATGTTGCAGACAACAAGCGAGGAGCACAGATCCACACAGGAGACTGTGTTGGTGTGTGTCACTTCCACAATGCACTGCATAAAGCAGCTGACTGTGGGCTTCCACCACACCGATTGCATAAGAGTGTATTTACCTTGCATATAACTAATTTTTGGTGTAAAAAGGGTCTTCGTATAAGAGCAAATTCACACGTACAGAACCTGCATAGAGCAAGGGAAACCTGTACTGTATTTTGGACACTGAATTCCAAGAAAGGCATATTGGAAAGAGTCCAGCAAACAGCAACCAAAATGATTACAGGGATTGGAAACAATTTATGAAACAAGGTTGGAAGAACTGGAATTATTTAGTCTGGAGAGAAGAAGACTGAGGAGGAATTTGATAGCAGTCTTGAAATATCTGAAGGAAAGAAGTTGGTGATAGATTATTTTCTGTGGTCCTAGAGAACAAAACAAGTAATAATAAACTTAAATTGTTGCAAGGGAAATTTTTGATCAGATATTAGAAAGAACTTCCTTGTGATGGTGGCTAGGCATAATATCAGCTTACCTAGAGCGACTGTAGACTCCAGCTCCTTGAAAGTTTGTAAGACCAGGTCGGATGGGATGGTGTAGACAGGAATCATCCTGCCTTACGCAGGGAGCTGGACTAGTTCCTTCCAGCTCTAGTTTTCTATGATTCCATGAAAGATGACAGAGGTGTAAGTAAATATAATGTTCGTGCATTTCTGATGATAAAGTATATGGGGCTGTTTCTCCTTTGCCTTTCACCTTGTATGATTATAGTTGTACAAAGTTTGTGCCTTTATTCTGCATCTTGATTTCAGTCATCCTGTACAGATGTTTGTGAATGACTCCAAAGGCAGTGGGTAATCAGGCTGTCTCTCTCTCTCTCTCATTCCTTAGATGTATGTCTGCAGCAATAAAAGATTCTGGAATAAGTCCTGAAGAAGTAACGTATGTCAATGCGCATGCCACTTCCACGCCACTAGGAGATGCTGCTGAGAATCAAGCTATCAAGAGACTTTTTAAAGAGCATGCATATAATCTTGCAGTTTCCTCAACAAAGGGAGCAACAGGACATCTCTTAGGGGCTGCAGGAGCAATAGAAGCAGCTTTTACTGCACTGTCCTGTTACCATGGAATTTTACCACCGACTCTAAACCTGCATAAAACAGAGCCAGAATTTGACCTCAATTATGTTCCACTAACAGCCCAAGAGTGGAAAAGTGCGAAACGACACATTGCTCTCACTAACTCATTTGGCTTTGGTGGTACTAATGCAACCTTATGCTTTGGTAATATTTAGTTTAAGATGTGTATAATTACTATGCATTTAGTTGGTGCATCACCTGAAAAATTATTTGCAAAGATGCATAACTTCTTGTCCCACAGCATTTTTACACAAACCAGAACACTTTTTATTTGCTCACATTTGAGACTCCTTCCTTCACCCCTCTTTCTCTCTGATACTTACCAGGTTATATTACAGAGTGCAGGAGAAAGCATAAAATCAGATTTTCAATAAGTAATACTTAATGCTGTGTGGTTCCTGGGCTGTGCTATGTGTCTGCAGTTCATACTCACTTTGCTGGGAATTCAGGATGCTCAGCACTTGGCAGGATTCAGCACTCATTGTTTAATTGGTCTATTCTTCCTCTTACGATATGATTAGTCTTATTTCAGTTTAAATGTAACCTTTAAAATAACAAATTCATCACTTCAGCAATGCTCTCTTTAAAAATAGGTTTAAATTCTCTAAAATACTTTATTACAAATAAGTCTGCAAAAGTATATGCCAGAATAAAAAAGCTTCCATTTTTCCCCAGTAAGCTCAGAAAGATGGAATTTTTTTGTAAAAAATGGAATGGTTTTGTAAATGGAATTGTTCTCCAAATCATTTTCAAAGTTTGTTCCAGCTAGATGGGGGGGAAAAAACAGTTTTCAGGTAGTGAGAGACAGCTGCAGGGTGTTGAGACTTAGGCTTTTGTTTGCATCAAAGCTGAATCTTTTTACAACATGAAAATAATAACTCAGTTGAAATGACTTTTCCCCTAAAGGCTATTAGTGTACAGATATATATTTTAATTTAAAGGGTGGGTTATTCTGTCACTTGCTTGTTTCTTCCTTAAATATGTTGGTAGCCATGATTTTATTTCACACTGTGATAGATAGTATTTAAATAAATATATACAAATTCCCCTGCTGTGTGTACAATGAAAGCATTCTAGTCTTTTGCAGCGTATGACAGCCTAGAAGTAAATCTTAGCCATGTTTTAAATTTTCCCGGATAAATGAAATTCAAAGAATAATTAGCATACACTATAAAAACAAATTTATGTTAAAAGATTACATTTAATAATCTCTCTTATTGCACGATCTCATCCTGCAATGTGCCTTTGTCTTTGAAATCCATGAATGTTGAATGTGTACGGTATGATAACTGTTATAGAATCATGGGGCATGCAGGGACTATTAACTTGATGTTTTTGTTAGTGATTATATTTCTGGTTTAGTAATCTAAAAGAATATTTCCTGCTGGGTTTAGAGACAATGAAGGTCATTAATACAAATCTCCAGCAGTGAAATAATTGAGTAAAATGTCTCCTGAATTTTCATTCTATACCTTTCCCAGGAAAAATTTTTATTTGATTCTAAGGCTAAGTACAGACAGTCGAAAATCCTGAAGCTGATTCAATTCAATCTTTGCTGATTAGTCTAAACTGTAGACTAAATCAATAAGCAAGTGAACAGATATTCTCTTTTGATTCTGAAAATGCAGCCACATGCCCACAGTAGCCCAGGCCAGAAGCTGGGGGGTGCTAGAGCATGCTTCCCTGTTCAGCTGGAGCAGACAGCTTGGGTCAAGGCTAGCCCACCCACCCTGTGAAGGGGGATTTGCAGGGTTCTGGGGGACTGTGAGTTAACTTGAATCTGGAGGGGATCTGAGACAGAAGTTCAATGAACCAGTTTAATCTAAATCAATTAAGTCTGATACTACCTCCATCCAGGTTTATCTTGAACTGGTTTTGGCTGTTTTGAGAGTGGTTTATGTACACTGAACTTCTGTTGTGTTACAGACAGCTTTGAAAGGTTTCCAATCACTTATATCAGTTTGTGTGTCACTTCTGTTCCTAGCCTAGATTACTATAATGACAAATAATACAAACTGTGTAAAATGACAGTCCTAGCCTGGGGTGAGTCTCAGTCTATGGCAAGCATAAGATTGTTACCAACCTGCTGGGGTCAACATGTGGATGATGGGTGACAGCCTTGTGGGTTAAATATATTTATAAGTTCTTCAATGTGTTTGAGGAATACACTTTTTATCTGATTTTTTTTTGCTCAATGTATAGTACTTTGCTTTATAAAAAATGATGTACCCTGTCTTTGTGTCTGAGAGCTATGCTGCAGATTTGAACTGGAGTTAGATTTGCTGAGGTGTTTGTAACACATGGTGGGGGGCTGCAGCCTCAAACCTCAATGGAGAGGATAACTGGTATCTCATCATGTGAAAGGTGACAGCAGAAGGCCAGAATCCTTATGTGGGTTGCCATGAAGGGGACCATGAAGGTGTCAGTAGCTACTGTCAACATGGAAAACAGAGGCACTCAGTACCTTGTGATTTAGGGTGTATGGAAAAGTTTTTATTTTCTAATAATAATTCAGATGTCTTGACAGTGTTACATTAATTTCATAAGATAAGATACTTGATTCATCAGAGGGAATCCATGGCAGGAAGCACCAGGTCTAGTCTCTGAGTGCTGCTATGCTAAGCAACCCTGCAAAGACAGACATCAGATGAAAATTTTCCATAATTACATAAAAGTGCGTATGTGGGAGTAGTAACGTGATCCAGCTCAATCAAATATGCATCTGTCTTGTGCAGATTTTTAAGCAGTTCGACATTGTACAAGTTGATTGTTGCCCATATTCATGTCATCTGCTTAGTAAGAAGACATGAATAAAGATTCTTGAATCTGTTCCCATAATATGTTACATGTTAATTTTAATTTATGACATTTTACAGAACCTTAGCTGACATTTGGCATATTATATAACTAATGTATGAAAAGAGACAGAGCAGCAGTTTAAAGAGGAATGCCTAGGTGGCAAATGAGCTGAAGCACAGAGTAGGAGTGACATTTTTAATAGGCCATCAATGCACAACACATGATGATGGGCCCAGACATGCTGTGAAGAAAACCTATCTGACATATGCCAACCTTACCTTAACATCTGTCCCAACCTAACATACGGACAGAATTTGTTTTGCTGTACTTAAACAGCAATAAAAATCCCATTACTTTTGTAGTTTTGTAGTCCCATTCCTTTTTGTTTAAACCAAGATTAGAAGCACGACATCATAAGATGAAAAGCTTTTTTTTTTTAGAGGAAATGCATCAGAATGAAAATATTGTATTGAAATAATATGCTGAGGTTATAGCTACTTGGTTATCTCTTACTTGGTTATATCATTCTGACTTTATGGCTTCTGTGAACAGCTTAGTTTTGTTAAAAATGAAATGCATGTATATGGTTTCAAGAAAATATTTTCCTTTTTACCCTCACCTCTTATGTTATTATTAAAATACTTGAGCACCAAGATCTTTCAGAAAGCAAGATGGAATTGCACCTGACTTCATATATGGATATTATTTCCACTTAATGAGTTAAGATGTTAAATATTCTTACCGGGAGATGGAAAGGAACAGGTGGGCATTTCAGTGCTCTATAATACCATAGGAATTGCCTTGTTGTATGACATATGCCAACTGTCATACAGATATGCTATCTGTCTGGTAAAACATACTATCCAGAGCAATGTCCTGTAGCAGTGATTTTGGAAGGAGGTGCAAGATATCTTGCAGTTGCCAGTTAAGGATAATCATTCCTCAGAGGAAGTTTATTTGTACCTCACCTAATATTTGAGATTAACTAATGATCTAGAGCATTAGGGTTAATATATTTCCCAAATCTCTCTTTTTGATATATCATTACTGCAGTTCTGCATGGACAGTTTTTTTATAAATGTCCAATCCGTTTTTTGAACCACAATGGGTTTTTTGGCCTCTGGGATATAAGGGCTTGAAGTGCACTGGAATAGTAACAACAGGCACTGAAAAAAATGACTAGAAGTCAGCGTTTCCTGCACCCAGCTCAGTACATTTGCCTGCCAATCTACAAGGTATTTTTATTTTAGCACTTGCATAGTATTTTTCACATACTAATCTCATGCATGCAGACAAACACTGAAATGTTTCCAAGCATAACAGGCCTGGAAACACTTAAAAAAAATTGTAGGGGTTCACCCCAACACTTACACCTCCTGTCACACCTTCTGGCTGGAACACCTCAGTATCACCACAGCTGCATACAGAAATACTCTTCAGCCAGCAGGGCCAGCCCACAATTTTTGTGGCCCCCCTGCAAGATATAGTTTTGGGGCCCCCTGTTCCATTGAAAAATCAAAATTGCGGTTAATTGCAGTACAAACTCACTGAAATAAAATAGTTGGGCCCAGGCTGCATGCACATGGGCTCTGCAGGGTTGGGGCTAGCATGTGCTGGGGACACCTGGGTTCCTTCCCCAGGGCCAGGGCAGGAGTAGAGCTGGGAACTACTCTCACTTGGCCGGAAAGGGGCTCCCTGCCTGCATCAAGACCTTTAAACATGGTGTAGGTGAGGGTGGGGGGCAAGCGGGGCACGGACCCTTGGCTGCGGGGCTCCCTGCAGCTGCAGGTTCTGCAGGATAGGACAGGCCTGCCCTGGAAGTCAGGGGCTGCAACACTGGCCTGTGATGGTGTGTGGCTCCATTTCTGTCTCCCATCACAAAGTAGAGTAATACTACTCTGCAGCCCACCAATCTCCCGGGGCTGTGGTTCTGCTTCTTTCCTCCCCTCTGATTTTATGGGGAGCAGAAAAGATGTCAGTGGATGTCGGAGTGCCATTGCCGTCTCTAAGCGCCAGAATGGAAGTCTGTAGCTCCTATGCTTTGGAACCAGAGAGGTATGCGAGGAGTAGGGGCTGCAGAGCTCTGGTGGTAGGGAGGGCGTGGGGTCTCCTGCTTCCGCTGATGGTCTTTCTTGCTCTCTCTTCCTCTTCTCCCATGATGGGGGGAAGCAGAGAATTGTGGGATTCTGGAGGGTCCAGAGGTCTCCTGTCATACTCCATAAACATACACCCATCAAGAAACAAAATGCTTCTAAGGACTTCCTCATTCAAACAGTTACTATGCTGGAGAGCTTCAAAGGACACACCATTTATAAAGCTTACCATCCGAAGCACTTCAAAGGTATTTAAAATGCTTCAGATGTGACTGCTGCCTGCATCCAGACCTGGACAAAGGTCAAATAGTGGAACATGTTAAAGAGCTAGGAACAGAAGCCAGCTTCTGACTCCAGTTCCTATGACCAGAGAAAAGTAGTTAGCCATGTCATTGTCCTGTCCAGCTTTCTAGTCAGGGAAATACAGATCCTAATGAAAGCTGGATCAATTCTCACATCTAGTTATGCACAATGTCAACTTTGGATAAGTACATTTATGGAAAGATAATGCTGTATGAGGGACAATATTTCAACAGACAGATCCCACCATAATTTATTGTGCATTTAGAAAAAACATACTGAAAAATATGATGGACTGCTGAAAAAATGAAAATGCATCATAGGAATGTAATAACCTGATGGGCAGAAATCCAAAGTTATATTTTAATTCAAATATTGTAAATATAATGCAAGATACCTACCTATGTGATGACAACATTCAT